ATCGACCACTCAATTTATGTAAGGTATATTATTCATTTCAAGAGCGTGTACCGGTAGTTAAAAATGCTTATGTGATCTAACAGAGTGAAATATGAAGCTAATAACAATTGTAGTCATCAAAACTCCTTAGAAAATTTACTTAGAAACATACTCTTTATTGCATGTTATGAACAGCAGTGTGAAATGTATGCTATGCTATGTTTCGGATGTTACACAATGTTAACATTTCAATGAGATCATCGATTTCTACAAACTCTACAATATAGATGTTTAATCAGCTTGCTGATGTTATTTCCCTTAAACTTTATAGTGTGTCATTCAATAATATCACTAACACATACATGTATGTAAGCAAAACATTGAAAAATCTTTTAAAAAATAAAACTATAAAAAAGTACCCCCAGTCATGTAAGTAATAATAAATAAGTTAATCCTAATTTATGTCCATCTCGAGAATGAGACATTTTAGATGTATTTTAAAATGTTGTATGTTTTAGTTTATAATACTACTGTAGGGTTGCGGTTCTAACAAATAATTCCTAGCACTCTTAACACAGAGGCAGCCCAGCAGACATGTTGTAGGATTGATAACTACTGGCTAACTGACCAGGTTTTAATGTGTAAAAGCATTACAGCATTCTATGTAGCATTCCACATACATTCCATGCAAAGTAGAAGAAACCAATAAATATTCATATAGTCCCATACAAGTATAAATCAACATCACAAACAATTCTTGAATATTCAAACATAAACAAAGGGTATACATTGAATATTCATAGTATATGTAAAATTTATTTTAAGCTTGACTGCATCACGTGAACATGGAAACCAATGAGAGAGAGAGAGAGAGGGAGATAGAAAGAAGAAATGATGGTAGATGAAAAGGGTCAATATGAATAAGGGATGACCAATTAATATGAAAGGGATGAATCATGGATATGAAGGGGAGTTTCAGAAGTTCAAAATAAATCCCTACACTACTGTAGTAACAATCATCCTTTACCACTATTTGTATTAGGAGGCCGTTTCAAACGACGACATTTTTTAAAGCTCTTAAATAAGTATTCATATATTTATTTACTTGATGACCTATTGATGAATGGATGGATTGATTGGTTGGTTGGTTGGTTGGTTGGTTGATAGATCTTAACTCGCGCTGTGCCGATATTACAGGTGACAAACAATATACAGTGTAGGTTAAACATGTACCGTATTTGCCGACGATAAGGCCGCAGCGCCGCACCCCAACTTTGTCATTTCGTAGAGAAAAACAAAACAAACAGACAGCCCATTTATATTTCACACTAGCTTATACATTTTGTTTGTATGCATACATTTGAGGAAGATACTACATGTATATGTTTAGGATCATCAAATAAGGTATTAATGGTAATGTCTTTTTCTTTTATAAGTGTATGTACTTTCTACACAGATAAGTTACGTGTACCGAGTGCCCTTTTTAAAAGGTATTTTCAAATGAAAATCCATATTTCCCATAAATTTTTAGAGAAACATTTTAATTTGCTTCATTTTATCAACTTTATATACCTGCATGAATCATACCCGTGTCAAGTAAATTTTTTACTGGATATTGCTTAAGTGGGTGATTTTGAGTTTTTGTAACCTACCAAATAGTTTAGATTGACCATACTATCTTTGGTTATATGACATAATTTGGAACAACCTCTGTAAAAATGAAAACCTGATGATTTGCAAACACACAGCGATGTAAATAGAAAGAGAGGTTGACAAATTGAAACTTGCTATTCTCACATTTATCTTTGCCCCTCATTTGAACTAGTTAAAGTATGAAAATGTCTGTTAACAGTTTAATGTAACATCCGAAACGTGCTAACAGCATACCAGAAAGTGCTGTTAAAATGGCTGAATATTTTTTATGAGTCACTTTTATTGAGATTTTTTCGGATAATTTACAATTAAGGATATACTAAAGCAGCCAACCATGCCTTGCATCACAATGTGTGGCTTCAATATTTTATGTTTTATAAGTCAATTTTGCAGAAAATCCAGATATTTTACGGAAATTTTGTTTTTTTTCATCATATTTAGATCTAAATGAAATTATCAAAATAGTGTTTGTAACAGTAGTGTGCATTATAAAATCGTAACTTCCACATGATTGTGTGGATTTGATTTTTCAAAAAGCGAAATCTAATTGAATAATTGTGAGCGATATTTCAAAATCCAAATTCAAAGAAATGTTATAACTTTGTCCAGTTGAGTATGACATCCTTCAACTTTACAATGTGAAGACCTCAATAACTGTTTTAGTCACTCACGACTTTTGAAGGGAAAAACCAGTTTTGGAAACGCCCCCCTTTCTCCAAAAATGAAATAGAAGCTTTAATTACCAATCATGTGAAAGAATATGTTTTGAATAATATGTGATACAAATTTTGCTGAGAAACCGCCTAATAATTGATATATTTGGTAAATTATAAATATCTATACCCAATAAACAGAACACTAAAAAGTAACCTCTTTTGGGAGTGTATTTTAAGTGATTTTAAAGTATAGTGCCTTTTGAACTAGATTTAAACGTTATCGACACGTGCCTTCATTTAAACAAAACAGGTACTCCTGTTCACGTTTTCATCTAACCTAAAAACCACCAGTTTATCACGCGACTGGAGTAACGTGATTCCACTTACCTCTGTAAATCAAGTGTTTATTACCAAATAACCACTTGACCAAGCAACGAGTTTTTTGTCCGTTAACCGATGGTGGCTATAAATACGTAGTTATTTGGTCTTGTAAGCACCTTTATCGATTGGTTTCACAGGTTATCCAAGGTTGATGGTAATAATCACGTTACTTACACCAGCTAATCGTCTTATTGTTCTGTCCGTGAATCTCTGGTTATATCAAATTAGTAATTCTGAGGTGTCTTACACACCTCTTTAAATGGTTTCAAAGTTACCATAAATTTCTTGGTTATGATCACGTGGCTCAAGCTGATTACTAATCTAAGCTGTGAATCCGTGATATTTAGGTGTGAAAAATTAGTAATTATTAGGTGTCTCAAAACACCTATTTAAATGGTAGTCAAATTTGCCAGCAGTTCCGCGGTGATGATCTCGTGACCCAAACGGAATATTAATCTAAGCTGGGCATACGTGACTTTTAGGTGTGAAAAAATAGTCATGATTAGGTGTCTTAAAACACCTATTTAAATGGTAGTCAACGTTGCCAGTAGTTCCGCGGTGATGATCTCGTGACTCAAACGGATTATTAATATAAGCTGGGTATTCCGCGTTTTCCAGGTGTGAAAATGAGTTATTCTTAGATGTCTTGATGGTTTCACAGTTACCATTTAAGTTCCGTGGTGATAATCCCGTGACTGTTGGCATATTTCTATGTTCACCAGTTGATAACTGACTGTTGGCATATTTTCATTGCACCAGTTGATAACTGGAGTGTGCATATTTCCAGTTGCACCAGTTGATGACTGAGTGTTGGCATATTTCGAGTTGAACCAGCTGACACCAATTAATTTGCATATTGAATATGGGGTGCGTGCAGATCTATGTTTTTTAAACAATTTATCTGAATGTACAGCATATTTCTTAATAACTGATGATTTTGTTATATGCAATTCATTTCGAAAATACTACAAATATAAATTACCAGTTATTAGGACATTTCGCTACTTCGTATAAATTATACATTAAGTTAAACATGAATAAGGGAAACATTAACTATGAACTAAAATAATTTCAATAAAGTACAAGTATACGATTTTTTTCTCTCGATTAATTCAATTATGTAAGTCTACTTATTACCAATGCCTTTACATTGGAAATACAGACGTACCAGTATTGAATTATTGTTGTTGTTCAACTGGTTGGAAGTTTTACCAAATGGTTCTAATGGCTCAGCTAGACCAGTTGAATTATAACTGGCCTGGATCAACTGGATCATTTAGCCCATTTCAATTTCCAGGGTTACCAGTTGGCATTAACTGGTTCATCAACTGGACCAGTTGCAACTAGCTTTCTCTTCTGGGATGTTTGCACCCCAACCCCCTCTAATCCAAAACTGCTTCCGGCGCGCCTGGACGTAATTATGGAAGATCCAAGACACGATGTTCAGAAACGGGATGAGAACGTCATTATTTTGGTTCATTTATTGTGTAACATTTGCGTAATTATTGGGTTGAACGCGGTTTACAGTAACATACTTCCTCCTCGACGTAAATTTCACGTGAATGAAGAACATGATTCATCTCAAGTCAGCCTCGTAATATTCACGTGAATTTCACGCAGATATTTTGACTAAAACTATCACTAACGCTTCACGTGTTTCTGTGACGCGATAATTTCGTTTATGAAGATGTAATTTCATAACCAAACAAACACGGGAGTATTAGGTTTACAAACCATGGTCTCCAAGGTAGGGATAATCACGTTATTATAATGGTGATATTGCAGTGACAATTGCGTGACTTAGTGTACGTGTGTTTTAAGTTACCTAGTGCAATAAACGTATTAACACATTTACGTAAATGTCAGGTGTTTGAAGAACGTAACTCTCCTCAAGTCGATACCTTGATATTGACGTGAGTTTCACGTGATTTTGTTTATTGGGTATGGACCTGATAGATATAACGCACGTGTTGCGCACGTGTGGGGGTAGTCCCATATACATCTTTCTGTGTACAGTGCTTGTAACTTTATCAAGACTGGGCCAAATTTCTTATCATTTTGATGATTCGAGAACCTTGCAGTACACACCAATACTTTGTATATGCTAGATGATCAACCTTTCTTGATCGATTCCACAACGTTTCTTTCACAATGCAATCGCATGACCATAACTGGTCTTTATATTTAATGGAAAATGGAGTTTAAAAAAAAAATTATTTACTACCGAGTATTAGTGTTTCATTTATTTACAAAAAAGCTTTTGATATTATTAAATGACATTCATCAAATAGCATTGCTCCATAATGTCCATACATGTAAAGATGCACTTACCGGGTGAGTATTCTCCCTCTCCCGTGTACAAAACTGCCTCCACACGTGGGTATTGTGTAATCACAGCACAGTGAGGTATTGTGTAAGTCACTGGTAACTTAAGGACTAAGTCATCAGGGGCTAAACACTGTACACCAAAGCAGGCTGACATCTCTTTTTTGCTGTTGCCAAGAATGGGAGTATCTGTCAAGACACGAAGAGAAATGTCCTGCGGCACTTCGCTGTCAATTGCACCGGGAGGGATCTCGAGTTCAATTCCAAAGGAATCTAGCTGAAGCTTGCCACCTTCAACTCCAACTCTCTTACAACATTCCATCTTGATTGGTTTGGCACTTACTTCATGTGGTAACAAATACATAGGAAATATTTATATTAAAACCTGTCTGCAAACAAAAGAATACGAAATTGTACTTCAACGTTCGGCAAAATATCAAATATATGTTATAGAGCACCGAAGAGCAATGTCACTCTAAAAGATTCTTCTCATGATGAATAAGTGTTTTAAAAAAAATGTTCTCAATTTTTTTTAATTGTTTATCTTCTGAAGGAAGTCTTTTGTCAATTTCTTTTTTCCTCCTCCTTTTCTTCTTCGTCATTGTTCTGGGTGTTTGTCTGTTCTTCGTGAACTTGGACCCTTGCCGTGGCTCCAACAAGCTCATCTATCGGTGAATAACCAACTCAGAATATAGATCTTTTTCATTGAGGCTACTAATATAACTGAATTTGAATTTGAATTTGAATCTATTAACAACAACACGTCACGACAATGACAGTATATGAACAATCATACACATCAACGAATAATACTGATAAATGTATACATAACAGAAGAGTTATGTTGATTGCACAGTAATGGTTTTAAAACAATATTTAAACATATATCTGTATACTTTATAATATACAAAATATATGAACGTAAATATGTGATGATTAAACTAGAAGTTAGCATAACTGCTAGTCGAGCCTAGTTCCATTTGTTAGCAAGGTTATTATTTGTTTGTGTAAATATATATGAATGTAAAACTTGTTTGTTCTGTTTTAACATATATTAAAACAAATAATACAGTGTCCTGTAACTTTGTTTGACGTTTCTTAAATACAATTTTAAAAAGTTCAAGGGCTAAATCATTGTGATGAAAGATAACAAATATTTTAACAAATACAATCATCACTGTATTTGTGATATGAAAAGGATGTATTCATAACTAGACATGTAATACCTGTTTGGAACAAGTGTAGGTGGGCTGCTCCAACTAAAATTTGAGAGAAAATAGAGCAATAATAAGCGAGATACTGCTAAAATAAAATAATAATTCATGTAGATTCATGATGTGAACTAAATTCACCTTCCATAGGCATAACACGCAACTTAAGAAATGTTCACTATGATGACGTCATCAAAATGAAAAATGGTGGGAACAAAGCTTGTAGAGAATTGTCGTAGCTACAACATATCTAAATTTGGTAGAAAATCAATCAAGTTTACAGAGATACATTCAATTTTCCATAAATATGCTGACGTCATTAAAATATGCAAACTCGTATTTTGAGTTCGAAGGCCATTATGATGACGTCATAATACCTTTGTTGGCCAAATGAGACATGAAATCATATCTCCGACTCATACTTTATCAAAATATTTTAACAAAATTCCAAAGAGCTATAATGCATTTTGTATAAGCGTGCTTTTGCCCATATGCTATGTATTAAATGAGCTCGCGCGCACGGACATTTATCTTAAACGGGCGATCATTCCGTTATCAATGGTCATAAACAGATAAACATGGTATAAAATTATTCGGGAAAAATGGGTAATATCATGAAAGAAAAAATGGCGATTCTGTGTTGCGTACGGCCATTACGCACGAAAACGCGAGCGCATGCGCGTGTGCGCGTTAAAACAAATATAATCCTTAAAATGGAGTACAACGTATGCAAAAACAATTTGAAACGATTTTGAGCATTTTTAAATTGTGCGCTCGCACTGACGCGCGCGTTTTTTGACCTGAAATTGACCGGACGGATATTGACCATGATCATGATAATTATGAATGAAAAATGACTTTCCGTTATAAAGATATGATCATGAGTTGATTTTCAGAAAAATTCACAAAATCGCGCCTAGATAACGTAATCACTCAAGGTCATTATTGAAAACCTCATTGTGCTTGGTCCATATGCCTATACGTAGGTGTGCCAAATTTTAAGGCAGTTGATGGAGCCATTTTCAAGTTATCTTGCTAACAAAAAAGTGGCTTGAAATAAGAAAAATTATCGAACGAAAACATAAGGTGATTTGTATTATATACAGCCCACCTTATAAAAGGAAAACCAAAGGGGGGTGGGGTGGGGTTGAGCCCACGTCATTTACATAAAAGGTAGGCGGAAAGATGTCTCGGAAAAGATAACCTCAATGTTTTTTGAACATAATGTGGCTTACACCCAGTAATTAAGATCGATTGATCGATCTGTAATTTATTGCAAACAAGTAAGACAAAATCTTGGAACCAGCGAGATCTGAATCTGCCATCTACTGCTTGCAGGGCAGCGACTCTACAACCAGACCAAATGTAATGCTTCCCGGGAGAAATTTCAATTGTTTAAACATAGCCCATATGTGGATTAATATCCTGATGGCGGACTAATGAATATTAATAAATCAGAATGAATCGGGAGACCTTGGGTATTTGTTTCTAGTTCATCGTGACTGTGCCATGGACCGGTGATGTCCTGGTGGTAGAGTCGCTACCCGACAAGTAGTAGATGGCAGGTTCAGATCTCGCTAGTTCCAATGATTATTCTGATTCTGACTTGTTTTCAATTACAGATCGATCAATCGATCTTGTTTACTGGGTGTAAGCCACAAATATGAATAATCAAGTATATTCTTGTGAACAAAATAGTTTTAGTTTAAAAAATAATGCCTACTTTCTTCCGCATGCATTTGTTTGTCCTCTGAATATGTTCTTTCGATGAAAGGTGACAATCAATTTCAATTTCTACAAACGGATACCTCTCTTATATCTGATCTTGATATTCTCACAGATCCTTTTTTGTCTATTGATCTACCTTTGGAATTCATAATCATAAAGCTTGTTTTTTGTAGGTTAAGTGTGACTTCATTAGCATTACACCATTCCTGCACACTGATTAAATTTTCATTAATAATTTCTAAATCAATTTCGGTTTTTCGAGTATTAAAAGTATGAAAAAGATTTGAGCTATCAGCAAATAATCTGAAATCGAAATAGTTTGTAGAGTAATAGACAAGTCATTTATATTATAGTAAAAAAATACTGTTGCTACATGGATTTGACATACGTTGTGTATTGTATAAAATATTAAACTGTGATCGTTTACACAAATAATCTTCAAACCATTGCAAGGCTAACCCACGTGTTCCATAGTGTGACATTTTTTGAGGAGAATGCTGTGGTTTATAGTATCAAATGCCTTTTGAAAGTCAATCAAGATACCAACTGTTTTTCTACCTTCATTTAAGTATTTTCAATAGTGTATTTGCAAGATTAATCAATGATAATTTAGTGTTGTTTTTCTTAATGAAACCATACTGGTGCTGTAACAGGATATTATTTGCTTCCAAATAGTAAATTACACGATTATTTATTATTCTCTCGAAGATTTTGCCCAGTATAGATTAAACTGAAATGGGTCTGTAATTACCAGCTAGATCTTTTTGTCCCTTTTTATAAATAGGTGTCACTTTTTGCTACCGTTAAGAGTGTCTGGAAAGTTTCATCTTTCTATGGAAGATTAAGAATAAATGTTAATGACCTTGAAATTTATAGAGCAGCGTCCCTCAACAATCTTGCAGGAAAATTGTCATATCCACATGATTTGTCTGTATCTAAAGTCTGTAAGTGGTTTTTCACTTCATTCTCTATTGATGATTACAAATTCTATTTTCTAATAAAACAAAAATCAACTTAAAAAGTATACACAGTGCATGTTAATGTTATATTGTAATTAATATGAGCATCTTGAGATTTTATGAATGAATCATGGTAATCACTACTTATATTAATTAAAAATCATTTGTACAAATATTTTCTGCCTGTACATTGTGAGTCCAAAAAAGTTTACACCAAGAAAATTGATAATTATAAAAAAAAAAAAAAAATCATTTATGAACAGTAAATTATTGATATCATTTTTGTGTGGTATGTGGTCACGCTTGGATGAACAGGAGACAAGAAGAGAGTGCAAAAATCGACTTGCACCAAAGTGATGCATATGTGATGTTTTTATTATTATTATTATTATTATTATTCATTTCACCAATCGGAAAACATGCAATACGTATAACAATCAGATAATACATGGATATTTCATCATACATGCAAAGTTAACAATTTTAGGAAAGTGGAAAGGAGAGAGAGAATGATACAATCTGCTGGTCAGGGGTGACAAAAGCAATTGAAATTCCTATTACTCGAAATCATGTCACCCCTACAGGCTGCATCCTCGAAAACGAAGAGTAAAGAACAGAATAAGAATTCACAATGTGAGATAATAAACATATATCAGGATAAACATTTGATTTGATCATTATCGGGAAGAAAAGTAATATGTATTGACATCAAAATAATGATTAACAATAATTTATAACTTTCAAAATGAAATGAACAGAATTGTAATCTGAAACCTTAACTGCACGGAACAAAATGAAGAAATGAGCTTGCAATATTTATTTAAAAAAAATTTAGCGACAAAATAAACATAAATTAGTCAGCTATGATCTAGGTGAGATACAAACTTATAATTGGGGTTTCCAAAGAAGAACCATGAGGGTTCATGCCAACGTTATAAAAATCCCCGAGTACCATGCATGCATCATAAAGTTCCATGTATATGGAAGTCAGGTTCTGGTGGAGACGTTCCCAGAATGATGAGTTGCTGGATGGTTGTCGATACAGGAAACCGATGATCCATGATTTTCTATTTGCCTAGATAGCAAACCATAATACATCCAAGTTGTCTGGAGTGGTGAGCAAAATTGGTGAGAGTGATAGCTACTAGGATACCACCGCCACGTTGGTTTTGACCTCTGTCTCGTCGTAAATAATATAGTCATCTGGGATACCAAGGGGGGGGGGGGGGATTTGAAAAATCGCGCCGACCAATATTTCAATAAGTTTGAAGTTTTATTTATTCCACATTTTACATAGCACAACAGTTTATACTCTTTTTTTAGGGGGTAGGGGGGCAGTGAGCACTAATTTTTTTGAAAGAAAGTGCCAGCCAATATTTCGGGCGCGGGGGGGGGGGGTCCCTGGTAGAAAGCACCTTCGCCAG